CACACACACACACACACACACACACACATATACGCATATACACGTAAATATCTCGAGATATTAGAGAATCAAGAATTGAAAAAAAGACTTTGCTGCTAATGGAGAAGTGAGGGGAGAAAATTTAAATTGAGAGATAGTGAAATTTGAGGAGAGTTGGACGGAAAGATTGAGTGTTATGAGGAATTAGAAGGTAGAAAGAAAAGAAGCAGGTTGAAGAGTGAAGTAGCGATGGTTAGAGGTCGGAGGTAGTGCCAGGCTAGTAAGTTCGGGACTGGTGTTAATAATGAGCTGGTGTAGAAGCGAGAACGGTCCAGGACGCTGCACATCCCATACCATTCCAAATCCGAAATGGCTCTCATTCCGGACGATTTTTTTGTCAGTTATAGGATAAAGTATGTTGTTTCTATGAATAATTCACTTGGACAACCTTCATTTTATACTATATGAATTCCAAAATTACCAATAACCTTCTGCATAAGCTTCTTTTTCAAGCATACATAATCTCACCCATCGTTAGGCCTAAATTGTATTGCTCATTTATTTTGAAAAAATGAAAAAGTACTGCGGATGACGTTGGCAACACTCATCGAGATCAAAAATAAAAGAAACAACTCGGCATCGAATTGAATCCATTTAATTGTTTATGGGGAATATGGTAATTATATGCTTGCTGCGATGCACATAATGCTTTTATATGCAATCATTTTGCTATAAAAACTAAAATTGTTGAGCTAAAATTTATCTTTACGGTTACGATGAAAGGGAATCGTGAACAGATTAAGAGAGAGTGATCTATGCCGAGCATACGTCAACATTTTATTGTTACGGGGGTCATCTTCATCTAAATGATCCATATTACAAATTTGATCGTCTCTACAAGAAAGCTCATGTTATTCTTATGAATATCACAATCTGCTCCGTTCTCTCAAACATCAATGGATCATGTTTATTTTCATTTCATTAAAATTATTTCCTCAATTCTAAATCTCGAAGTATGTTTGTTAAAAGAATAACATTGCTATCACTGAAGAGCAAGAAAATTTATTGAAATGATCGTATAATTATACCATAAATCGTATAATTTGAAATTATAATTGAAATAATATTCATTTTTATGGAAATCCAGTTTCAGGCCAAAAAGTGTTGAACTTTGCAAGTTAAAAAAAATTTTTGAATAAAGAAATTTCTGAAAATTTGATGAAAGAAATAAATTTTCCTATTCATCCGAAAAAAAACAATGATTGCTGTCAATTAATGGGGAATAACCATAATGGCAAGGAGGAAGGAATGAAAAATCGGTCGGGATAGGCATGGCCAAAAAATAATGTATAATTGAATTGCATGAATTGAAGGCTGAATTTTCTGTTTGATTAAAATTGAATTATCGTTCATTTAGAAGATGTTACATTTGCTGAAATTTGATGTATTTTTGTGTTGTCACAATTCTTTGATAGTTATTTTAGAGATATTCAGAGGCCAAATATCAAAAAAAGCATTTTTTAAACTTACTGAAAACTAAATAAATAAAACAGGACTAATTAGTAGACAAATAAATAACTGAAAACAATACATAAAGAGTGAAGAATTGAAATGTATGTTGCTGATAGTTTCCTAACACAAAAAAAAGATATTTTCATATAATGTATAAATATATTTTGATGAAAAATTTATAAAGTGGAATTTTGAAAGAATTGAATCCTTTGATGTGGTTTCTCAAATGGTGCAATTCATAACTTGTTAACACTTTTACTGATCAAACTAAAATAATTGATAGTTTTGAAATTGGTAAATTTTGGAAACAATTGCTTGGATAGCACTACCATGAATTACAGATGAGATTTCAAGTGTTATTTCTTAAAGCCTAAAGTTTCTTGTATCTTTTCATTTATGAATCATCAGCCATCACTTTTGTTCATTTTATCATTTCATCGCTTCCGCTTCCGTTAATCAATTTTTTCAACTCGTTTGCATCTATTGATATCATAGTGCTCTATCATTAAAATATTATATCCAATAAAATACATATCAGACATTTGCTTTGGCTAATGAAAAAGGTTTGGATTTATCTTTTCTTTACGAAATTATCACATTAATCGTGAAGATTATCGAATGATTCACTTGAATTTTCTTGAAGAAGTTGGGAAATAAAAGAAATATTCGGTTACTTGTCACGTGGTTCTTGAATATGCTCGAACTTTCCACTTTAACGTTCAATTCAAATTCATTTTGTTTGATATTTCCCAAATGAAAACCTGCAAATTGAGATGACAACATCGTGAAAGAAAGTTTAAGTATAGTTCGTTAAGATACATTATGCTAATTTAATTGTTTATTTTCCAATCCTTTCAGCTTTCATATTCCAATTTATTCCGGCATAGCGCAAAATTGGATTTGTCATTAGACTGAAATGGTATGGTGAGTAGTGAATTAATAAATCTCCTTTACTTTGAAAAATTCTGTAAGTCAGAACAAATTCGAAGCTTAATTACGAAATCTGTTTAGAGCAGTTAGTTAAATTGAGTTCAACGGAACAAAATCTGTTTTAAAGAAATTTTTGGTTGTGTAAATGAGAAATGATCTATTAATAACTCAATCCAATGGAAAAGATATAAGAGTAATTTCCAAAAATTTTAGTGCCATAACATAATATCTTAAATGGGGATCGAATTCAAATATTTAAATGGAAGTTTTTATCCGATTAATTTGAGCTCATCAATTGGTGCATGCAAATTTAAATACCTTCAAATCACAGTTTATTAAAAATATTCGATTTAGGGAGCATTAACTGCAAGCTTTTCTTTGTTCATTACGCATCTTTTATTATCATTTTTTTACCAGCTTAGAAAACTTTTAATAAGCTTGCAAAATTTTGCAAACCTTCTCATTAAAATGTTTATTATAACCCAAACTTGACTAGTTGACTTGAAAATTTTGCAGTTTTTTTGAAATATAATGATTACTTTAGTTGCTTTTGGTTTTTCTCGATATTTGATGTTATCGGAAAATGAATGCTTAAAGTCTTGAAATAGCTGTTTTAAAAATTTGGCCAGGAAATTAAAAGATTCAGAACAATAGCTAACATATACCCAAATCAGTTCTATGCAAAAGCAATGGAACAACAATTATATCATTAATAAAAAGATTCGTTTCAATAAATAATATAATGATAAGTCGAAAAGCATGATCAACAGAGTGCTATTAGCAATAGCAAATGAAAGTAATATTTCATGCATATCATATATCGTCGATAAACGTGGTAGTTGAGATCGAAGCAGTTTTTTTTAAGCAATCGATTGATGATGTTATGGTTGTAATCCTTATCATCATTATCACAGTCATCAAATTTCTGCGATCGTTGTCTTCAAATTTCAATCTAATTTGTATATAATGAACTTTTCTAAAATAACTACACTACTCTCCATAAAGATTTTTTCTTGAAAGCTTTTTAATTAAAACACGATAAAAAATTTTTAAAAAATTGACAAAACCAAAAATGAAATTAACGAGATTATGAACAATTCCAAAAAATACCTCAATCAAAAAATTTAATAACTGCAATCGAATTAGAACGAGCGTGCATTTTATATTAATATCATTTAATTAAGAGGTTACAAACATTCAAGAAGTTATAAATTTTCAATGCATCAAAATACTTAGAAAATCCAAGATTTATTGAATTCATCAATTAATTTATTTTTAAGAATAGCAAAGAAGTTGCACTGCACATCTTTTAAGAAAAATAAAATATTTTTCATCGACAATGCGGAAATCAAACAAAAAAAAAGAAAGAACCAACAAAATGAAACAACAATAACGCGGTTAAATTAATCTATAAAAATAAAAATAAAAAGTATAAATTTCATTTTATTCTTAGCTCTGCACTCCTATTTCAGGACTTAAACAAATCTATAAAAATAAAACTGAGCAAATAATAGCAGAACATCTGTCTTATTTTTTCTTCCCTGAAATATGAACTCCTTTTTCTTCTCTTCATCTCGGGATTAAACATTGGAGCACACATTAACAAGACTTGTTAATGACAAATTTTTATTTGTTAAAATTGCACATTTATGCCACAGGAAATTCACAAGTTTTTTTGTTATTAAGTTATCTTAGAATTTATTTCAGTTATTTCTGAAGCTAAACTGTTAGAAAACCGAACAAAACAGAACTTTAAGAAAAAGATTACAGGCTTATCTGAGAGCTCTGCAAGCTGTGCAACGAGTAGTAATCGTTAAAATTTCATAAAGCAATGAAATTAAACTGAAAAACAATTAAATTAAATAATAACATAAGAAGTTTACTTGTATTTTAAACGAATTTCACTCTAAATTTGAAAATCTTACTTAATCATTTCGTGCCGCTAATTATTATTGCTCATTCGATATCTTCTTTGTAACTTAATAAGTAGATAAGTAAAATCAATTTTAAACAATTAATAATTATAATTGTATTAACCTGAAGCCAGCAACAAGAAGTGAAATTTGGAGTATGAATCCTTAATAACGAATAACAGGTAGACAAATGGATGAATTTAAAAGTACAGTTAAATTTTCGAGAATAAGACTGATTGATAGTAATTCTAATATGAAATCAGTGAAGTAGAAATGTGCCCTGTATTGAAGAAATAATTAACTGAGACAAAACACAGCATACATCTTGAACAAAATCATCACAAGTAAACATGGAATGATTAGATAATGTAAGGCTTTCCACTTTATCGTATAAATTATCTACCTTAAAATAGGAATCCTAGAATTAATTGCTTATTATGAGGAACGCTTGCTATAGCATTCTATCGAGGCTTTTCGATAATTCAGAATTGTATTCAAGATTTCATGCTGTTCCAGTTGTAAAATAGCAAGAACATGATCATTATGGCATTTTTCCCACGAAAACTCATACAAATATCCAACAGTTTTTAGACATACTCGGCGTATGTCCATAAGCTCTGCGAATATTCCCGAAATAAGCATATCATCGATATGAATGTATGATAGCGGCTTTTTGAGAGCCATCAGGAGACGCTCAGCAGTTACAGGTGAGAATAACCATGCACCACCAGCCAAATAGGTCGGATAGGTCACTGATGCATAAATAAATGAATTCACAGCCCTAAATTAACAATTAATTTAAGAATTATGCAGGAAAAGATCCAATTACTTTAAAAGCCAAATAAATGCTTACAATCGGATCAGTTAATCAAAGTGTCAAATAAATTTACTAAATTCAAATAAGCTTCCAAAAAAAATACACCATTTACTACTATCTTCGCGATGTGCTCTTGCACCCTTCCAGCATTTTCCATATACGGCTACCAAATTAGCATCCAGTTTCGAGGTATATGAAGCTATTTCATCCGGAAATGCCACTATATCTGGATCCCCCTAAAATGCAATTTATAAATTTTTCATATTTCAACGATAAGTTTCATGCCACAAATAATTGGATTAGTTAAGAGGAGTATTATAAATTCAAATTTAACTGATTGTGAGCATAGATCTAAAAGGACAAATTTAAGATAGGAATATAAATATAAATTAGCTGTAATGTTGACAAGATTTAATTGAAAATGTTTTTACAAAAGATATTCTTTCTCATATTAACAAGTAATGTTCTTTTGATCGGCAGAGACCAAATCAAATATTAACGCATTTTAAATTGTAGCAGTGTTACTGTAAGCAATTATCGATTTCGCAATTTAAAATGTATGAAAACGCTTTGTAAAATTTACCTGCATAAAAAATCGAGGCGCTTGGCAATTTCGAACTATCCAACTTAAAATATTTAATGACTTGAGCGTCATGTTACTGTAACTATCAATCATATCAAAAACGACCAGATCGTCGTATTTTTTAGCTTCCAGCTCTACCAATTCATTTACTTCACCTATTTTTTCAACACCCAATACAAATATCTGAAAAATGTATGTTTAGAAGAGTTAAATAGCACAAATTAATAATACACATCTAAAATATTAAAAGTATCATAAATTATACTAACTAAGGAAAGTTTCAGAGATCCAGCCCACGTTGAGCGAATAATACTCCTCCATCTTATATTTGCTGGATGAGTACGAATAATATAAAAGACAGGTACACTGGGGCATTGCTGGAAACTAGGCCTTAAAAGTACTTTAGCATCCGTAAAATTGTATGGCGCAAATATCGCTCCGGTTGCTTTATGAGCTAAAAATTATGACAAAAAACGAGTTATGCGATTCTAAATATTCTTCATGTTATATTTTTTTCAGTCACACAAATTTAGAATGATAGTTGCTAAAATCAAGATTCTGAAATTTAAAATCTTGAACGCCAAAAAAATGTATCCATAATTTTCATGAATTGTTGAAATTTTGAATTTTGAACAAAAAAATGAAATCGTTCCGGCAGGCTATTTCTCGAAATATGAAATTGATAACCTCTGTTAAAATCGAACGAAAAATTTGTATATACATATAATAACAAGATAGGAGAACAGGAAATGATGATCACACAACAAACATTTATAAATTTTATACGCCTCAAAGTTGTTCGTTTCAGCCGCCTAAAAAATAACAATTGATCAAATCAAATTTAAATCGATGATTACCAAAGTTTTGTTTAAAATCACAAAATAAGTGATAATTTGAAGGAGCAGTAATAAACAAATAGTATATTTTATTCGTTTATTACTAATAAAAAGTGCAAATAACTAAGAAACACAAGCATATTTAGACTGACATGATCACTATCATTTTTATAGCCTAGGCTTTCCATTTAAATACTATCGAAATTATAAGAAGTGAGACTCACATATTGAAATGTAGAATACATTAATACAAATTGAACAGAGTTAACGTAAGTTAAGAAAAATATGAACTAAATGATCAATATGATAATTTCCCCAGCATGTATGAATTTGCATGAGAAATTCAATACAAAAACACCAATTACATTGAAACATTACTACGCAGTATGAAAGGATCAGAATGGAATGAAATAGTGAAAATAGTTGGAGAGAAATGAAGAAAGGCATAAAAAAAAAGATGATGGAAGAATCTGTTCCCACGGCACGAAATATGTTGAAAATTTGAAGGTGGAATAACCGTTGCCATCTTTGTCCATTTCACCTTAATCCGGGAATAAGACGATAAAAAGCAATGAAGAACTGAATAGTGGGGAGTCAACTGGGATTTAATCCACTTAATCTTATTTCACATTTCAATTTAATCCACTTAACCTTATCTCATATTTCAATCCGCTCAAATAACAAAAAAAAAATTAGACTGCTTGGAATAGAGTGATCGATGATGTATCCAATATAGTAAAGAACTACAAATCCGGTTAGTTAATAAATTTGTTAGTATCATTCTTTTTTCGGATATTGTTTTTAATTTCAATTTCGCAATCTTGATATTGGGACTTTTTGATACATTAGCATCAGGAATTACTCTCAGAGCATTGATATCCGAAGTGTATAACCAAAAAGTTATAATAACGATAAGATAATATTGATATATTTATTCATAAATAATGAATAAGTTGAAATAAGACTTTAATAACAATTTTGAAATTCAATTAATAAATTTCCGAATTTTTTTTGCGGAAAATTGAATATGATTAAATATGCTGTAGAAAGTTTACAGAGAATGGTAAAACTCACCGTAATTCGCAGTAATGTTTCATAGTAAATGATGCCATAACTAAATCAATCATTCAATATTTCCTTTCGCGAAGCTACAAAAAAATGAAAGGTTTATGTCGCTATGAAATAAACATTCGCGAAAAATGCTTTGCTTTATTTTTATTTTTATTCTCTTCTGAATCACTGCAGATTTACAGCAGATAGCAGATACAGACGTTGGATTTTTTTGAAAGAATTAGGAAATGAATAAGCTTTAACTAACAAGTATTTAAAGAAAATTAAAGCTCTCGAATTAGACATTATATATTATTTTTATTATTCTTATCATTGATATACAACAAAGATCTCAATCATCGTAGTAATGTGAAAAAATTAATCAGAATTAAAACACCGAGGACCGCTTATTTCATTATATACAATCGTGATCGACACATGGATAAAAGGGTATTGCGACTTTGCCTTTTTTGATAAGGAAATTCAAATATTCGGTGAGTCGTTTATCATAAATGCTGCAATGTTAGTCATATATGCTTTTTCATCAAGCAATAGCCTCAGGTAATATCGGGAGAGACTGATAAGCTTAGCTCTTAGCAATTATATAATGTGTTTAATCCAGTGGATTATGGAGTGAATTCTTCGAAAACGAGTTCTTCTCTAAGAGGGAAGGCATGAATTCCATCCATTTTACTGCTTTTATTATCGCAGTCAGGTGAATGGAAGGGAATAGGTAAGCAGGTGTGTCAAAGTTTCAATTAGTAATGGAGCTTAATAATCTTATTACATATATTTGCACAGAATAAATAAGTGAAAAGGCATATTGATTTGCTTTGCAATTAAAAGTGCTACTCTCATTTAGCAAAAACTAAAAGTTAGAAATAGTTTTGATTTCCGATCTTTATAGATTAGCAAACGAGTGATTTTAAATTTATGAGCTTTTCAAAAGAAAAAAATATGCATTTTTTACCGCTTAACTTTAATAGGTGATTTCTGATTATACTTTGTCATCAGTAAATTGTCTCGTGCTGTCCAAGGTATTTTTAAAATATCAATTTATTAAATCATAACAAACAACAATCTGACCATGCTCTTGTTCACTTAAATTTATTCATATTACAAAATAGGTCACAAATCTTTGTAATTTTATTGCACAAAAGATATGACCACCCAAGTAGCCAGTAAAGGAGATGCTGCTATCAATGCTTAAATTGCAGATTTGTATTTCAAACATACGAAATTCTGGTTCATTTGGAAAATGAAATTTCAAATATTAAAAAAATTCACACATGTAAACCATCTACAAGAGGTCTCCAAACACTGATTTTATCGTTGGTTATTCATTGTTATGATTGTCGAAGAGACAAACATATCGTCAAAGATATCTTTCTGTTTGCATAATTATAAATGGAAACGCTTAAATGCACAATAAATAGAGGAATTTCTAACATGAACAAATGATATCACAACTGAGAATAATTGGATCGAAGAAAAAACTGAATTCTTTCAATGAAAAATTATGATCAATATGAAAAAGATAGTAATTCGTAAATGAGAATGAATTAAAATTTTTCAGATAACAAATATTTTCATAGTAATTCACAGATCCAGAATCCAGTGAAACTTCAAGAAATTCTTAAATCAAACGCAACACACCACTCCAGCAAGCATATGAACTAGTCAACCCACAAATGATGATTACTGGAGTTGTTCGAAGGTTACAGAAACAATGTTCAAAATTTGCATAAATTACACGTGTGTGCTCTCCCCCTGTAGTTTTCTCCGACAACGAAAATTCCATTCATTTTAGCTCAACCATTGATCAATGGAGCGAATTATTTATTACAGTATGCATTATTCGTTATAGCTTGATCATTGATCAGTGAAAAGAATTACACAATTGTGCTATAACCTGTGACTACTGCACCCCAGTAGCGCACTAACTTGACATTTCATCTGGACAATATGATGTTGCCTGAATAAGGATTATTCATATAGAAATCAAATTACTATTGAATTAGTGAAGAACTTAAACCGCAAATTTGTTGAGAATTACGACACAAGCTATTTTTGTCCTAACAAACAGTAGGGGGTTTCATATCATAGTATATCGCTGTTTATAGCATGAATAAATGATATCAATTTATTCCTGCACTCTTATAAACAAAGAAATACGAGAAAATAAAATGGTCAAAAAAATACAATTTTTAGCTCACAGCTGAATAAAAACGAATTAATATTTAACCAAAACGGAAGAAATTCGAAATTCACATTTTTTTTATAAAATGATGGGAAACAGTATAGGACAAAGTAACATAAATTATCGGTTTGGATTGTAGATCTTCTTCTTCAATCGCGTGATACGCCAAGCATTTGGATCTTCATACTTATTATACAAAGGATTAATCGTCTGGTTCTTTTTAAATGCTGATAATTTCGTATTATCACCCATTTTGAAGAAGGACGGCGCAAATTCTACTAGCCATTTTGGTTCAATAGCAGTTACCTGAAAAAATTAGTGTCTAAACTGCTGTTACTATTCACCCAATCCCAAGAACACTATAATTAAAGAATTATATACTTTTTCAATTTATAAATGTTTATCTGAGGCCAAATAATGAACTTTAAACCGTAATGACACACTTCGTGACTCAAAATAGTTATCATAATTATCTTAACGGCAAGACTTACAAACCTCACGCATGTATTCTTTTGTTGTCATTACAAGCTCATGATAAACAACCCATTCAGGCTGGTTTTGAAATAAGGAACTAGAAGGATGAATATAAACATTTTGGCCGTCCACGATTGTTCGATAACCTTCCTGAACAATGAAAAAATTAAATAAAGTGACGAGAATTTACTGATCTATTATATTCTTTCTATAGCAAAATGCTTTGAGATGCTGAAACTTTGTTACATAACATGATACTGTCTTTTAAATAATGACATCTAAAAAAAAGGTTTCACAACCTTCCCAAAATTAACCATTTTGAACAATTAAATTCATGTTGTTTATCTTACATCTAATCTCAGAAAGATACCTGTGGATCTCGTTTAGCTGCATTTCGAAAAAATCCTGAGCATATAGCTTTCTGTATGCGTTGTACATCTCGACCACAACTTATTGTGTTCAGCTTATGTCTATCCATGATACTAAGTAACTGTTTCCGAATATCCTGCAGAAATAATACACTGAGCAAAAATTAATTCGAAAATTCTCTGAAATGTAAAGATTTTAAGAAAAAGTAAAAAAAAAAAAGAATTTGCACAACAATAACGCATCTAAACACAAACCTGTGCTCTTTTTAAAGTTCGAATTTGGATAAAATTTTCATAGCACCACGGCTGGGAAAAGTGATGAAGCTTCCACGAATTGTAAACAGCTAACAGTGTTAAGTGATCACCTTCTGGTTGATGAAATTTCGCCTTTTTCTGGTCTGCTATTTCTTGTTTGTCCTACAAAATAAAATTCTGAATGTAAATTTAATCTAACCTTTTCAAACAAAAATTTTTTTAGTGCACTTTTTAACAAAAGTAATTTAAAGGCACTTTATAGGAAAAAAGAAAACCACCTTTGGTCTGTAAAAAACATTTTGCACTGACAACATTGAAACAATAGTGAGCACTTCATCTGAACAACATAAATCCACCGACATGATCAACAGCTTGGCCAAACTAGGTTCTAATGGAAATTCTGCCATCTAAATTCAAAATGACATTTATTAAACTCCAAAAAAATCAAAACCCTGCACAATAGAAAATAACTGTTAACTGAATAATCTGAAAGTTAATTTCCAACCTCAAATTACTGAAATTTCAATTATAAAAACTGATTGCGATTATAATGAATCGCTAGAAATCTTTCATAAGTCTCATTATTCAACGTTACAGGTGAAGGTTTTTGAACTTCAAAACTATATACCCGTAGAAATTGTATTAAAGTAGACATACCCTTCTGCCAAGTCTAGTCAACAGTCCATCGTTGTCAAGAGCACTTAAAGTGTGCAACTGTGTTAGAGCTGTAATCATAGCTTCTACTGGCGGTGCGTCCATAAAATCAAAATCAATTAAATTGTTGATTCCCATAGCTTTTAGCTGCAACAATGTTGATGCAAGATTTGTACGCTGTATTTCAGGTACAGGTGTCGGCAACATCTCATCCCTGAAACGATAATATTTCAAAGAAACAATTGGCTGAAATTTAAAGATCTTCATAAATCAATGTTATTTAAAAGAATTTTTAAGAATAAAAATTCACAAAGAGCAAACAGTCATTAGGCCAATATAAGGCATGCTACAGAGGAAATGTAGCATGTCTTGTATTGGTCTAATGATTGGCGAAGTTAATAAAATTTAATAAAATAAAAAACACCTATAAGCCCTTTCTGTATAAAGTCTGTAACATTTGCCAGGGCCTGTACGACCTGCTCGACCGGCTCTCTGCTTCGCTTGTGCTTGGGAAATTGGTGTAACCACTAACGAATCCATACCGCTTTTTGGATTGTATATTTTTTGTTTCACAAAACCTGGATCAACCACATAATAGATTCCATCTATCGTCAATGAAGTTTCGGCAATATTAGTTGCAATTACCACCTGAAATATGGATTTAAGATTTTAATTATTCCATAAGATAATTTGTACCTCACTGACTGAAAAAAAGTTGAAACGAAATAACATCGAATTTTACTTTTCGGCTGCCTGGTGGTGCAGGTTCAAATATCCGTGTTTGCATTTCGCTCGGCAGCGCACCATATACGGGTAAAATTATCAATTCAGGCACATCTGGACCAAGACTTTTCATTCTCTCGTACAAAACTTCGCAAGAAGTATCAATTTCTTCCTAAAAATCGTATTCATAAAAATATATATTAAGTAAAAATCAATTTCTACTACATCATATAAAATCAGAAATCTAGAATGATGCAAGTTCCAAATTAAGTAACAGATCATCTTACAGAATCGGAAGCGCCATAAGGTTAGTAAATTCATACCTGTCCAGTAAGAAATACAAGGACGTCGCCCGGAGGTTCGGTAAGATGGATTTGCATGACAGTTATGTGTGCAGCGTCCAAATAATCCGTTTCTGGTTCACGTGTATAGAGGATTTCAACAGGGAACGTTCTACCAGGTATTGTAAATATGGGGGCTTCATAAAAATATTCTGAGAATTTGACTGCGTCCAGTGTGGCACTGAAAACCAGATTTAATGGAATTTAAAAAAACCCGAGCGCACTACTTCAAAAAAATTTCTAACATGTTTTGAAGCAAGTCTAAATAGAAGACTTTATTTTTCTTCAACATAATACGTCAAGGGAAAATAATGAAACAGAAACACACCTAGTAACAATTAGCTTGAGTTCCGGTCGTTTTTTCACTGCAGCTTTCAGAAGTCCAAATAAAACATCAGTATGGATAGTTCTTTCGTGAGCTTCGTCCAACATTATTATCGAATAAGATGTTAAATCTGGGTCCAACAAGCATTCTCTAAGCAACATACCATCCGTCATGTATTTCACTACAGTATCTTGGCTGAAAACATGCAATACAAAAATCATTTTATGAAATAAGTCAGTATATAACAAATCAGTTATCCACCTCAAACTTTGCAGAAAAATGCCGATTAGAAAAAGATTCATTCAATAATCCGTTTATATAAACGCAAAAAATAGTGCAAAAAAAAACGAATAAACCTTGTACAATCTTCGAATCGAATAGTATAACCAACTTCAGAACCAAGTCTACAACCCATTTCTTCAGCAACACGTTTCGCAACAGACATCGCAGCTACTCGCCTTCAATAAACAATGCAGTCAACTGAATATAAAGAGAGATATTAAAATAATAATATCACTAATAAACTGACAGAATACTCATCGGGTACATGATAGCACAGTGGCAAGATATATAATCATATTTTATAATTCTGACTTAATATGATCATCCGATATCCATTAAAAAGTAAGCAACGAGAACCGTACGGAAGATTTCGATACAACATCAGCAAGGACACATTGCTTAAGGTTTATATCAACATACTTCAATATATCGAGTCAACTTGCTCCACAATAAAGCTAGTCAGTTATAAATAATTAACTGCATCAGCAACATCACTAAAGTCCAATAATAGATAGCTACTTACATTTTGAAGTAACGATTTCTACGTTTGGTTTTTCGCAATCCGGTTGTAACTCAATCAGATTACATACTATCCATATTATTGAATTAACCACCGTAATGATATATACAGCAGAATTGAATTTCAAACAAAAGAACTTGAGCTGATCGTAAAATGATAGAATTATTTTAGCTTGCCTCGGTTGGGTACATCCAATCCTGCCACGAGCAGCATAGCCAACTTCAACCATGTACTGAGTAATCTGAGTCGTCTTCCCGGATCCGGTTTCACCAATAACAATCAAAATATTCTGCGCAGCAACTGCTTCTAGAAGCGCTTTCTTCAATGCAAAAATTGGGAGCGATTCGCGCTGTTCTCTAAGTGACATATTCGTTCGTTTCCCATACGTTGCTTTTCCACCGGCAGTCACATGTCTCAGCCATTCCGGCATTTCCTGAATTATTTTAGACAGTTTTTTTTTTCCATAATATCCCATATGGAGATTAAGAAACACATACGACTGTAACACTCGTCTAAAGTAGAAAGAATTTTGAATTATGGTGATAAGCGAAGTGATGCAAATGCATTGCAGCTCACAGTAATGAGAACAGTATAATTGAGGAGGCGCCAAACCCGGTATATCCCATAAAAGCTTAAACCAAAAGCTATTATAATCATTGTTCGGTTGAAAGATGTTATAATCATGTTTCTATTCCTGGTTAAAAATAAAACTAATTATAGCTTCTAAAGTAACCTTCTGCCTTTGGCTTGGTCCAGAAGTATCTACTGAGGAATGAACAGATAATTCTGCCATAGGATCATTGATTCTGGCAGTGGACGAAAGACCATTACGTTGAGAATGAGATTCCTGCTCACGCTGCGCTTGCAGTTTTTGGTCTCGCCGTTCTTTTGCAAGTGCACTCTGAAATAATTTGTAGTAAAAGTATTGTGAAATGAATGCATTATAAATATAGAGGATAAGAACTCCTCTTTAAGAAGTAAAAGAATGATGAATAAAAGTTATGAATAACAGACCTGCATTAAAGCTGCTTGTGCCAAGCTTCCGTCCGGATTTTTCACAACTTTTACTGGTTCGAGATCTAACATGCATTTTCCGTAACCGCGTAAGAATTCTGGCTCTTCCTCAACAATTTCTATTTCGATATCTTCACCATCACTTTCTTCTAAAGATATAATATTCAATAAGAATATCGAAAAAAATAAAATGACATCAGCGATATACACTACAAAAAAGAAACAAACACCTAGTTTTACGCAGAATTTGTATCGATAAACATACCATCATAATTCCTGAGAACACCAAGTTCTTCATCAAAATCAGGCAAATCGGCATTAGTAATCGCTCCCCCGCCTTGCATTTGCCTTAACTCCCATCTTTCAGGAGTCGTTAAACGAACACGACTTTTAGTCACACTGAAATTCATTCAAATATCAAATTCACTCAACAAAATGCTACTTCATGATAAAACAAAAAGTGCAAATCATTTGTTTTAATTCAAAACCTTTTCGACTGAGTAACAGAAACATCGTCCGGATTGCGAGAAGTTGAAGGATCCATCCATGGCGCTTCAGGATTGCGAGGTGGACGAATAACATCTCCAACTGGCGCAAGCTCATGAGGGTTAAGGTCTTCCCCTGTTTCCTGGTCAACTTCTTTCATCGACAAACCGATCTTTCCTAATTCGAATTTAATGACCTAAAAGTAAGTTTAGAAGAATAACAAAATGTACAAAACGATGCGTTAGCATTAATAAGATACAATAAATTTGAGTTTATCGCTTACTGTGTCAATTTACTATCAATTTATATTTACAATAATATAAAGTACTAAAAATTTCGATTATACAAACTTGAAAAAGAGAGAATGTCCATTCACCTTAACTTTGATCTTCTGATTTCGATTTAACACATCAGACACGGCATTTACTCGGTCCTGTCTGATTTGAGATATGTGCAGAAGACCCTCGAAGCGCTGACGTAAGCCCTCTAACTAAACAAAAATTGCAGCTTTAGCAATATAAATAAATTTGAAGGAAATGACTAGCAAACAGTTCAGTAATAGTATATGAGAACAAAACAACTCAAGTCTCAAAATCGAGAGGGGACAAAATTTTTAAGTGGTGCGTAACAACTTATAGTGAGTAAAAATTCACTGAATTTCATACTTGCACAAAGGCTCCAAAACTTTGGATGCTTGTCACTCGGCCATTGTAAATGTCACCAACAACTGGGGCGAGACTGATTCGCCTCCTTCTCCCATTTTCAAAAGAATGTGATCCACTCCTACGATGTCGTCTGAAAATGCAAATAGTAATGACTATTCGCTTATTATTTAGTATTATTTTAGTAGTTATAAAGATTCTTTTAATCTTCTAATCTTACTTTTAATCTTATTTTAATTCCTCTTCATGTCTGAAAAACATGAAAACTACCTTGACGACGGTTCATCTTGTTTTTCACCCCGTTCCCCACTTCGCTTTCTTCTTCGATCCTTCTCAGCGGGACTTCGCTCTCCACTTCGCTTCCTTTTTCGATCCCTTTCAGTGGAACTTCGCTCATATCTTCGGTCATGCGAATGCCTATCTTTTCTATCATCAGAGAAATGACGCTTCCTTTTTCCAGTGTCTGTACTTCTTGACCGATGACCGCTTCTTTCTTTCTTATCCGATTTATCTTTAATTTTTGCCTGAATTCCATTTAATTTAAGAGTCAAAGATAATTTTAAAATAATTTTCAAATTAGAAAATTTAATAACTCACATAAAATCAAACTGAAACCCAATAATATTATTTTCATTCCAAAAAGATTATTCTCTCTGAAATCACTATGACAGGAATTACATGCAGAACATAACACGACCAACAATGTTCATTTTCAGAAACAAACTGGAAAAAACACGGACTTTTGTTTCCTTCCACTTTGGCTGTAAACTCTCTAGTTCAGTCATGAGTTTATTTGCATCGACATTCGGCATTGCAAGAGCTGGAAGTGTTTCACGAAGCAATTCCTTATCATCCGAAAGAGTCTTTGCGTTTGCGATATCTTTCTTTTTTAATTGCATATGTTGTATAATGCGAAGGAGATTGGTTAACAAAGAATCATCAAACTGAAAACAAAGTAAAAACTGTCACTATAAAAAGCCCTAATACCGATATTAGCAATATACTACATTATTAGCAATATTAACAATATTTTTACCTCAAACGATCTCTTTTCCTTTATTTATGTTTTTCCTCGAATTTCAATCTCGCACATTTAAGTGAAAGTTCCTTATCCATGTGAAGAAATTGATTGTCTTCAGCAACAAAAGCTTAATCAGAACAAAATTCATATACGTACATACCTGATCAGCTAATCCTTCTTTCATAATTGATTTTTTGAATTTCTCGAAAGTTGGATTTTCAGTGGCCAAATATATGATGAATTCTGCCACATCCTTATCTGCCAACCCAAAGTGATTGTCAAGTTCAACGCATACTCTTGACACTAGCGAGAGGCGCTCAAGCTCCTCCATTTCTAAAACTTTTATTTTTAATGCCGATGATGATCGACCAAGTGCGACACTTCTACGGCAACTTTAACTCGTGCCTTAT